GGCAAAACCTCTAGGACCTACCCAATTTGAGCTATTGACAGAGGTAACAATCTTGTTATGAAGAGGACCATGCCATTAAAAATAATGACTACATACATGCGTCCAGTAATTCTCAGTTTTAAATAAAGCAGCAATGCTTTTTAAACCTTCTCCAAGATTTTTTTTTTTTTTTGGTAGTAAAGCATAAGTTACAAATGGCCCCACTTTTTAGACAATTCTGTAAGTACTTACTGAATGCTTTAAATGTCTAGACCTCTATTCGGTTTGGGAAAGAAACCTCAAAAGAAATAACTCCCTATCCTCATCAAGCACCCACCCAATATAACTGGAGAGAAAAATATATACTCAAGGCAGGTTAAATATTGCATTTGTTTTCTAGGTCTAATATAGACCTTTCTGCGTTCTCTCTCTCTCTCTCTCTCTCTCTCTCTCTCTCTCTCTCTGTTTTTAGTTTGTAAGGCAGCGTTATAAGAACAACGTATCAAAATGTCAGCAATCTAAAAATTAAGTTGTCAGCTTTTTCTCTGTACTGCAAATTACAAAAGAATTAGGGGTTTGGTGCTAATAGAAGCTTACAATTCCAAAGTATGCAAATTAACCAATCATCGCAAGGACTAAAAATGCAATACCAAAGACATTTCAACCAAGTAATCTGCAGTTCTGGCATCTAATTTCAACTTCTCTACTTGTGCCATTCTTCCCAATTTGTTTCTTCTTTATGCTTTGAAACTCTGCTCTGGAACTGCTATACAGTTAAGAAAGAACTGCCCAGAGCTCCTACATACATAATACACTCACATGAAAATTGTCAGTCATCTTAGCAAGGAGGTATGGAAAAGACAAGGATCATCTGCAGCCATTCTGTGGTTCTTCATTTTTTATGCTGATATTACTATAAATTCAGAAAGGAAAACATGAAATGTACTTTATTGTTTCTGAATTTCAGTCTTATCATTTATTCAACACTAATTTGGGTGAAACATGTCTCTGATCATCTCTGTACTAGAATTCTAAATTAGGATTAAAATGCTAATTATAAAATAATTAGTACATAAAACAAAAATGGAAATGGAAATCAATTACTCCAAATCACCGCAGATATCTTCTACACCTATGAAATACCTTTTTCCATTTTTTCCAATTGCCAACAGCAATCACATCATTTAAAAATAAATGAGAACATTGCCTACCCAGTAAGTAAATTGCATCTTCAGAGAGACCACATACTTTTTAAAAATTACTAATAACCTAAATCAAGAATTTAAAAAGAATGCTCTTTTAGTACAAAGAACAGTAAGAAATATGTTGACTCAATATATAAATACAAATATACTCATTTTTCTTGTTCTTTAATTTTGTAAATGGCCCTTCTAAAAAATTACAGTATTTTTCTCTACAAAAGGAATATTCAATGCTTTCTACTATTTCACACACACAAAACACACACACACACACACACACACACACACACACCTCTCCTTCCTTCCTCTTGGAGACACATTTTCCCATGTAGTCTTACATTCATTTATATCCTCTAATTCTCCAAACAATACCTCGCAATGCAGTTCAACTTGAGAAAGGAGAGTCTCAGTCATTGATCAGGCAAAGTTTTAAAGCCAGCGAGATGCTTCAGATGGTCTGGTTTTGCCTGCCCCACCCTTGTTTCCGTTGAGCCATAGTGATGTCACAACACCAGGCAGGACAATGACTTCACTGCTCCAGTCCTTGCTTCTGAGCACAGAATTCCTCACAGCCAAGGCAAACCAAATAACTGCAGAACCCTCCCCCGCCTGAGTGCCTGATGAATTCCCAACAAATCAGCAGCCAGCTAGCCTTTTGAAAGAAATAGACGCAGCGATCGCACGATTAAGGATCTCTCTAAATGAAGTGGTGCTAAAGATAAATTTGATTCATGGGTTTCAATGGTGAGTCTATATTCCACAGAAAACTGATGGGGTACTTAGAGGAGACTATGGGAATTAAAGATGGCCAGGGTAGATTACTCAAGCACCCTGTCTCGGCCGGGCTCGGTGGCTCACGCCTGTAATCCCAGCACTTTGGGAGGCTGAAGCAGGCGCATAACCTGAGGTCAGGAGTTCCAGACCAGCCTGGCCAATGTAGTGAAACACTGTATCTCTTAATTAAAAACAAACAAACAAACAAAAAAAAAAACAAAAACTAGCCAGGCGTGGTGGTGATCGCCTGTAATCCCAGATACTCGGGAGGCCGAGGCAAGAGAATTGCTTGAACCCAGGAGTCAGAGGTTGCAGTGAGCCGAGACTGCGCCATTGCACTCCAGCCTGGGCGACACAGTGGGACTCCATCTCAAAAAAAAAAAAAAAAAAAAAAAAAAAAGTCCCTCTCTTCATTATATATAGTCAAATTCTCACAGAAAGAAAACATTTATTCCTCAGTCTACTCTTGGAGTTCTACTTTACTGGAGAGGACATGAATTCTAGTTTGTGAATTTTAGGGAAAGCACTAACTTAAAAGATGAATGCACATCATACAACATGGAAGAAAATACTTTTACAGTATTTTACAGAAAACACTTTTTACAGCAAGTTTCTGCCACACTTAATCTAATATACCATGTAAGTCCAGAAAAGATTCACAAGTAACAGCAACACATCTCTCAGTGCATGGATAGTGGCATCTCTTCTACCTAGGTGGCCCCTTAATGCATCTGACCAACCAGTTCTTAAAAAACAATTATAAATAAAATTGCATCCGATCAAGTTTAAAAATATCCTGATCTTTTTATTTCAACACAAAGTTGGCCAAAGTCCAAGCACTGTATAAGAATTGATGAAAAATTGCTTTTAACCTAAATCACATTCAAGCAGAAGAAATGTCTTAAAAATTAAATGTAAATATCTCACTGAGACACTGACATTTGACCTATAGCTCCCGAATCCTTCACCTAAAAGGGGTTTACAAATTAAAGTGGCTACTCTTCTTGTTATGGATGAATTATTCACAAAACATGATCTGTTTTGAAAAACTTATTTTGGCTAAAGTGTATTAACTAAATAAACTTGATGCAGTGTTGTGCATCTAATAGTTTACTTTTCTAAACTACCAGAAAACCATAATGCAAATGAGATAGTATTAAGCATTCAGCTATCAATGCCTTGCAAATTAACAAATTGAAGTCACGCTTCTCCAATTTAGTATTTATTCCCTCTCACATTAATTTTGTTACTCCAACTAAAGTTTTTAAAGTTTGATACCAAAATTAACATGCATTTTTTAAACACTCTCTCTGAGCCAAGACAGAAATCACCTCTCAGTCCCCAGAGTTCACTGGAGCTTGATGTGCTGCTCTCTTTTCTTAATAGGGCTTTTCTGCCTAATTTGCTGTAATTGGGACTACGTCCATGGCTCACAGACATCAAGTGGAATTTTACCATTTTTGTTTCCTTGAGACTTTAAAAATCAGGGTGAATTTCAAAAATAATGTTTTTAAGCACTTCGTGTGACGCTTCCTGTACTACAGAAGTTAATGCTATCAAAAGAAACTCCAGCACACCTGGCCACCTCAGAGAGCTTAAAATTCCCATTGCAACCCCCGCCCCCCAACAAAAAGGACAGGCAGGATATCTGCAAAAGCAATTCCGCAAGACTAATGTAAAAAAGCTGAAACAACTTAAACACGCAATGGAAGCACTGCGTTAGCAGGACTGCCGGGCCCTCTCAGGACCTCCCAGCCCAACCTCCACAAGTAATTAATACCACATGTTTCCTTTATCATTCTATTTGTTCTGTTCCGCAATAATCTCTACCAACTTTAACCCTGGGCTGCAACTAAAGGAAAAACCCTAGGAAACTTCAGATCCGTAATATAGAAAGAAAATTGAGAAGAATACTCTCATTGCAAGGGACCACAGTTACAATTTACTAGGTAACCACACCCACCGCATTGCAGAAGCCATGAACTTCGCGGGCGTGGGGGGGTGGGGGAGAAGGGGAAGAAGTCGGGCGAGATTAGAGGCGAAACCCGAAAAAGCAAGCCCCTGCGGCAGCAACCAGGAAACACCCGCCAGGAACTGGCTGACACCCCAGCTCCAGCGGTCCGAAGCCCCAGCCTCCCCACCCCCACCGCTGCAGAGCCGCCTTCGCAGACACCTCCCAAAGCGAATCGCAGCACCGAGGGCGCCAGGTGAGTCGCGCCGCCCCGAGCCCCCGGGCCACGACAGGCCCACCCAGGCGCCCCCGGCCCGCCCCCGGGTGCCAGAGGCGAGGGGCCCCTGCAGGTGCCCAGGCCCAGGGCAACCCCGCTTGGACGCTCCCTCCTCCTCCCCCACCGGCCGGGGGCCGCTGCCCCAGTTCGGGGAACGAGGCAAGTTATATAAAAGCGGCCGGCCCCGCTGCCCAGCGGGGATGCTTTGTGCGGAGCGCACCTTACCGGCCCCGCGCCGCGCCCGCCCGCGCCTGCACCCGGGACGAGCCCGCAGCCGCCGCGCACTGAGCGCACGGCCCCTCCCGCGGCCCGCCAGCCGCCAGCCGCCACCCGCCCGGGCGGCGCCGCAGTGTCGCCCCCTGTCCCTCGCACCTCCCCGGGGGAGGGGCCGGCCCGCGCTCGCCCCCAGTCCGAGGGGCAACTTAAAACATGGCGCCCCGGGCGGGGGATTTGCGAAAATTGGCGGAGAAGGGACGCGGGGACCGAGTTGCCCCATCGGCCAGGGATTCCAGGGAGGCCCCCAGGCCGGAGGCCGGGACTCAGGCTCTGCGCGCCGGCCCAGCCACTGCTGCAGCGCGGCGGGTGGAGCGGGCGGGGGGCGCGGCGCACAGGCTCGGCCCGCCGAGGGTCCCGGCGAGCGGGAGGGCGGTTGGGGACCCCAGGCGCGGGGCTCGGGATGCGGGAGACCGCGCGGCGCCGGAGCCACGCGTCAGCCCCACAGCCCGTGCGCCTCGCCCCAGGCCTCGGGCTCTTCCTCCGCACCTCGTAAAGCCGAGACCCCCTCGCAGTCCCCCACTCCGGGAGGCGGAAAAGTTACCTGGGATCAGCGGATAGCCCAGGCGCGCCGCGGCGTGGAGACCAGGCTCGGGCGCGCGTCCTCGGCGGCGGTGCGCAGGAGACTCGGGCGTGGGGAGGAAGCCGCAGCCCAGGGCTGCTCGCCGCGGCTCCCCCCGCCCCCTGTTGCAGGAGACACCGAGGCTCCGCGGAGCTGCGGCGGGGGCCCACGCCCAGAGACCGCGCAAGGAAAGCCAACCTCGTCCTGCCTGCCCTCCCAGCCGCGGGGGAGGGGGCCACCGCAGTACTTCAGGACAGTTACATGGGCACAACCTCCTCCTTCCTGGCGCAGGGTCAGGCTCCGCGGACGACGCCTGGAGACAGCTGCCAATGCCAATAGCTTTAGCCCTTGATTTCCACTTAGATGATGGCCTGGCCTCTCCAGCCCCCTCTCCCCTCCCAGACATCCCCTGTGAGAAAGGAGGGAGGGGGTGTTCCTGACCTTCAGGTGAGTTATTTATTGGCTAAGGACTGCAGTATTTTTTTTTTTTTCTTTTTGGAAAGAAAATAAAAATCAAGTTGGTGGTGTTTTGAAGTCATGTTAATAGAGAAGATCTGAATTAATGGTTGATAAGAGAAGTCGCCCATCTTTCAGCAACTCAGCTACTCCGTCCTCTCCAGTACCTATAAAGCTTTCCACTGAAATGGAGCGGAGGGGGCTCCCTGATTTGTAAGTGAAATAAGTAACTCCTGGTCGTCTCACAATATCTTAAGATCTGACCGAGTAACTAAGACATTTAAGAAATGTTTTTATGGGCACAAAAAGAATAGAGTGAATAAGACATAGTATTTAATAGCACAACAGGGTGACTATAGTCAAAATAATTTGCACATTTGAAAATAAAGTGTAATTGAATTGTAACACAAAGGATAAATGAAGGATGGATTTCCTGTTTTCCATGATGTGATTATTACACATTGCATGCCAGTAGCAAAACATCAAATGTACCCCCATAAATATATATACATACTATGTACCCACAAAAATTAAAAATAAAAATATTAAATATTTTTAAAATTTTATGTATAAGTCATACAACATAAGATACATATATAGTAAAATGGTTATTATAGTAGATCAAATTAGCATATCTATCATCTCACATAGTTATGCATTTCTCCCAACACCCCTCTACTTGTGGCAAGTGTAGCTATAATATACTCATTTAGCAAAATACTGAATACAAGACACTTCTTAGCTCTAGTCCTCATGTTGTACATCAGATCCTTTTCATGTTGTACATTATTTTTTTTTAAATAGAGCCTTCTCCAGATCATCCGGTTGCCCCTCCAGGAGCTCAGGGACTCATTAAAAGAGGGAAAAAAAATGGATTAACAAAAATATTGGATTTGCTACTGGGTGCCAAAGACAGGATACAGAACACGTGCCTCTGGGAGGGATTAGTGGGCCTGATCTGTCAGTGAGGCCTGGAGAGGTGGGGAGACTTGGTGCAGGTTTCTAGAGGAAAACTTTAGTAGGAAAGGGGGATGGCATTTGATTTCCTTGGCTGGAGTGGAAGGGTTTTTTCATGTTGAAGAGGGAGAAGGTTGGAAAATTATAGTTACTATGTTGCTATGGAGTTTATGGGACTATATTCTTTTTTTTTTTTTTTGAGACGGAGTCTCGCGCTGTCACCCAGGCTGGAGTGCAGTGGCCGGATCTCGGCTCACTGGCAAGCTCCGCCCCCGGTTCACGCCATTCTCCTGCCCAGCCTCCCGAGTACTGGGACTACGGCGCCCCGCCACCTCGCCCGGCTAGTTTTTTGTATTTTTAGTAGAGACGGGGTTCACCGTGTTAACCAGGATGGTCTCGATCTCCGCCTCGTGATCCGCCCGTCTCGGCCTCCCAAAGTGCTGGGATTACAGGCTTGAGCCACCGCGCCGGCCTGGGACTATATTCTATAGGCGTACAACTTCGGGAAATTTTGAGCAAGAAAGTGTGACTTAAGTAATGTTTTAGGAAAACTAATCTTACGGCTCTGCAAAGACTAGAACAGATGGGCAAATACCAGGTTGGTGATAAGAGGAGACTATGGCATTAAAACAGTTACCAGAGGTAACAAGGGCCTGAACTGCCTTTCAGGTGACAGATAAAGGTGACATTTCCAATAGTGGATGTTTGGGAATTAACTGCATTTCCTGTCAGGAAGTGTTGCATATGAGTATTAGAGATATATATGCACATATCACATATGCACCTGTATGACTCTGTGTGTGTGTGTGTGTGTGTGTGTAGCATATAAGGTATGTGAATGAAGAAAGAATTCATTTTCCTTTTTTGCATGTACACTAAAGCACTCTCTATTGAAAGTGGACTTGAATAAATTGTATTGTTTACAATAAACACTCATTTGGCATTATCATTCAAGACACAGATGGCTCCATATTTTCATTCATTTTATTGCAGTATTTTTGCTATTTTTTTAAATTGAAAGCAAACTTTTTCTTATGACTCATGAATCTTAATCTTTGTGGTGATGAAAATCAGCAATAGTGTCTGAATGGCAATTTTCTTAGGAGAACAATGTTAGACAACTAAGTAATTTTTTTAATTAGAAATACCTATCTAGGCCCAGGCGCGGTGGCTCATGCCTGTAATCCCAGCACTTTGGGAGGCTAAGGTAGGTGGATCACGAGGTCAGGAGTTCAAGACCAGCCTGGCCAAGATGGTGAAACCCCGTCTCTACTAAAAATACAAAAATTAGCTGGGCGTGGTGGTGGATGCCTGTAATCCCAGCTACTCAGGAGGCTGAGGCAGAGAATTGCTTGAACCTGAGAGGTAGAGGTTGCAGTAAGCTGAGGTCTCACCACTGCACTCTCGCCTGGGCAACAGAGGGAGACTCCGTCTCAAAAAACAACAACAACAAACAAGCAAACAAAACCCCATCTAATTATGGTAATATTCCATGAATTGAAAATTTGGAGTAAAAATCACACTGCTGTATAGTTTGATAGGAAATCTCAGAAGCAATTACTTTGGAATCCTCTGGATTTGACCAAGGCTCTCCTCTATTATTTTTTTCCCCCTAGCACAGACAGGGAGAAAAAGAAACATCAAATTCATGAGTGGTGCATAGCTGCATAGCTCCCTCAGCAACTTGCCTGCCTCTTGGTAATAGCAATCTCTTCATTCTTTCTTGTGAATCCCATGAAGGATCCTGTCTTAGTCCTCTCCGTCTCCGCACAGTGCCTCACTGGGCACATTGCAAGCCAAGCACTTAACGTTTTTGCTAAATGAATGAATGGACATTGAATAATGAACTAAGCTGTTACTTTTCTTCAGGGATTCAGCTTCCTCATGTATAAAATTAGGGACCGATTCTAAAATTCTGTATGGTTCAATAATATTAGGGTTCTATAAAACTAGAAGATGTATCACCGCTTACTACTTAGTAAAAGCAATAATGAAAACCCTACTATTTAACTCTCATCAGGAAATAATGAGCTCTTCCACATAGAAAGGAGAAGGAACATAAAGTAGAAAGCAAGATGAAGATACAATTACAATTGAATTTGCTTGCTTTCTTAGAATACTAACTTCTCTCCTTTTCCCTCTCACTACCAAAAATAAAGCCCCTATCGCCCCAGAGAATTCTTTATTCTTCTCAATGTAACCCCCCTCATGGTGCTGTTTCAATAAGTTGTAGAAAAGTAGTTCTTGGGTCCAGTAAATGCCTTTTACACAGTCCTAGAATTAGTGCCAATTTGGCATGAGAGCTCAGTTCTTCAGATTCTTAATTTACTATGTCCACACAGTGCTAAAGGGAGTGTTATGCAAATACTGAAATAATCCATGGAAAGTCAGAAAGATTCCGTGACTCTAGCCTAGGTTCTTAGGATGCCCATTCTGGTCTCCACTACCTTAACTTGGGCTTCCTCTACGCTAATCTTATTTATGGACTTCCTGAAATTACTCTACTGTATGTAAGTTATATCACTGAAGGCCACCAGCTATCAAGAATTCTAGCCACAGTGCAGAGAAAAGGATGCAACTTACTTCAGGTAAGATATGTGTGTAAATTCATCCCAAGCTGAAGAGATTGGATCCCCCCGAACCTCTATTCCACCTCAAATGTCAACAGAGTACGGACTCCTTGAGCGAATGAGTAACTGGTATTCTGCTACCAGTTACTGGTAGCAATGATAACTCCAACCTGCTAGCCAAGACAAAGACAGAATTTGCAGTTGTATTCACAGCCATGTTGTCAGCGTTATGGACGAGACTCCAGAAAGAAATAATAGAGAATCAGTCTGGTTAAACTCATCTGAACTTTGCTCTCAAACATGAAAATTGAAGGAATATTGACGCTTGAGCAAACCCTACAAATGCCACCCTAATAAACATGCACACTCATTTGGCCTCATTTATTCAACTTGATCTGCTGCCTTCGTGAAATGTTAACAACACTGGCAATAACTAGTTGAGGCTTATTTTATGCTCAGAATAATGTCGGGCACCTGAATTGCATATCAAGTTCTTGAAATCAGGATGTGAAGTCTTCAGCCACAGCATTACTGGGGACCATAAATAAGAGAAATACAGGGATGAATGCATAATTCAAAAGCAACAAGCTTATTCTTCTGAAATAAAAATTCATTGAAGAGTTTCTAGGTTCTAAGAATAGCTTTAAGTTTACAGCTCATTAAGGCTTCCAGATGCTCTCTTCCTATTGAGTTTGTATACACCATTTCAGGGGTCTGTCTACATGCAAGGCACAGATGCAAAATGAAATAAAGTATTGATAAGTATAAATGTAGCACAAAATGTACAAAAATGTATACATGAGAGGGAGCAAGTTTAGGCATGCTAACACCATTTAAAATCATTCCTATTCATCAGAATTCCATATTCGCCTTTTTTCTCTTTGTATTCTTATATAAAGAATAGCCTTAAAGGTGGACCAGTACATAGTATGTAAGTTTTATTGTATTAAAACATATCCTTATTGATATTTGTACTTTCTCCATTTCTAGTAAATTTTAGAAATAAGTCTCAGCACTTTTAAACAGAATAATTTTAATAAAATTGTAAGGGTTATTCTAGTGCTCAATTCTTTATTAAATGTAAATGCTCGATGATTCTATTCTTCTCAAGTAAAAATAAAAAATCCATTGAGAATGTTTTCTATTTAAGGAGTTTATGTATTATAAATATGGAATGGTAAAATATGAATGCTAAAATACAAAGAATGGACGTTGTTAATCTGTAATATTAAATTCAACTCTCAACCACGTGACCACTATTGAATTATATGCCAAGACACTTAACATTTTAATCACTTTGCCCCCAAAAGACAAAATAAATGCCAGCAAGCCTCTGCATCCCCTGTAAAGCTATAAGTAATCCTAATCAGCTATTATGCTTCACCCCAGAAGCTATCAACAAAAATTAATTGAGGAAGAAATAATAGATAGTAAGACACATTCAGAAGTCGGGCGTATTGACTTGTTAATGCTATCTTCTCTTTAGGCAAATGTGTGATGGTTAACTTTATAAACTAATAAACATACAGCAATAGCTACTTTAAGGAAAAACATTAGCTTTGTTTCCTAATTTAATTCCTGTTTTCCAGCGTGTTTTTTTCCCCCTTTCCAACTGTCTCACTGGTTGCAGATTTCAACAGTGAGGGTACAACCTGAAAATGTCATTCCACTATAGTCCACAGCTTCCAGAATGCTCTGGGAATCATTAAGAACATCATCTGGAATATCCTGTCCCTCAAAATAAATTTGTTTAATAGGTCAAAGCCATTTGAAAGAAAGCCTTGGCTACTAACACTCTCCTATGCAAGATGTTTATTAGGGATTTGTCTGATATCCAAGGCTTACTCATTTGTAAATGATACAAATCTGAGGATACCAGAGTTTCTCAAACTGGCTTATTCGTGAACAGTTCTCTAAGTTTTACATTTCTGTGTCGGTAAAAATCTTAAAAAGAATAAAACTACCAGATGCACACCATTGATATCAGAATCATTCAAAGTGCTTGTAAATAATGCAAATTTTGGGGTCCAGCCTTAACTAAGTGAGTCAAGCTCTGGGGTGGGGTCCAGGGAGCAGGCGTTTTTAACAAGTTCCCCAGGTGATTATAAATCACACTAAATCTTGAGAACCATTGATCTAGGCGACCGGTCCATACCAACAATCCCACAGGTGACAAAGTGTGTTCAGACATGTTTCATAGAAGTTGGAACAGAAAGGGGGTGGAAGAACAGCCTCACTCAGACATATACGAGAGCTGAACTGAAGATAATCTACGCTACACATTTCACAGTTTGCAAGAGTTATCGCTTGGATCCTGTGATTGCATGCATCAGTCTGTAGCAGCAGTTCATTAGCAGTAAGTATAGTAATAAATAACAATGAAGGATTGTCCTGTTCCCAATTCCAGCAATAATTGGATTAGATGCCTATTTATTAAAGATTGCAGTAACACTGCAACTCTGACCTTAATTTCCAAGTTTTTACGAAGTTGCCAAGGGATGTCTCATTAAAATGGGAAATTGAGGACTAATTGCTGGCAGTTTTAGTTAAGTTTGAGATCTGACTATCTTAAACCCTGCAAATAGAGAATTTCAGTACATTTTGGTACACTATACTCAGGCAAATAGCATTCCTTGGGCTGCTTAGTAAAACTTAGTGAACCAAATTAAATAAGGAAATTGACCAGAGGCTCCATCCTTCCAAAGCACAACATGAAGAATTTTGTTTCAGAAAAAACAATATCATTTATCGTTTTAAATTAGCATGTTTTGTTGATTTTATTTTACAGGCCTTGCATTTCTCCTATCAATTTATATGGTTATTTTGGTTTTATATGTGATGAACCCTATAAACTTAAATCTGGTTTTACATCTGTATATGTTTAGAAATATTTTCCTTCATCAAAGGATGAAATTTCAGCTCAATAAAAGAGGACCATCATTCTAATATGGGCCCCGCTGTTTCATGAGCAGTGAGTTTCCACTTACAATGTTTAAGGAGATACCAGATGACATCTGTCAGTAATGCCCCAGAAGGCTGCTTCTTTCAGGAGGGCACTTGGGCAAAATCAGCTATAAAGTCCTGTCCAACTGGGAGATGAAATTGTGTTCCAAATGTTTGCCACTCAGGAACCAGGGCTTGCCTACCCTGTTTGAGGCAGCAACTCAAGCACTGACTTCATGAAGGAACATTCATGTACATATGTACATGGTCTTTGAATCCCTAATAACTTCTCAATTATAGGTTGAGATTAATTTGTCATTGGTTCCAAGCTTTTTCTCCATAAATCTCACGACAGTTTCCACCACCTCTTCCCCTCCCACGTCTTCTCGGATCCATCAACTCTAATCTGCTTAGATTTACACAAGTTCTCAACCTCTCTAATGAAACCTTTCTTTATCTCTGAGCCAAGCTTTGGTGAATTAACATAAGTAGCTGGGCATGGTATTGTTTTTGGAGTCAAGGTATAAATATTCTGAATGGGAAACCATGAAGCCTATTTTGGAATTCTTCCTGGGTGTCTCAATGCCAATTCCCAAATTATCCCACTGTTTAACAAAATCAAACGGGCATGCAGTGAGCACATACCATCCTCCTGAATGCCATTATAGCTTGATGAACAGAGCACCAAGTAATATCTGAAAATCGTTGTATAACCTTCAGCAAATTTCCACTTCTCTTGATGTGATATCAATATTCATTGAAATATTCCCTCCATTTTCTCTTTTACTAGCACAGATGGGTGGTTCTCAACCACAGCTGCACATTAGCAGAATCACGTGGGGGGATTTTTAAAAAAAACAGCCACTGAAGGCTGGACATGGTGGCTCACTGCTGTAATCCCAGCACGTTGGGAGGCCGAGGCGGGTGGATCACTTGAGCCCAGGAGTTTGAGACCAGCTTGGGCAATATATTGAGACCCCAACAAAAAATTTTAAAATTAGCCTGGTGTAGTGGAGCATGCCTGTGGTCCCAGGTACTCAGGAGGCTAAGGTGGGAGGATACTTGAGCCTGGCGGGGTGAGGCTGCAGTGAGTTGTGATAGTACCACTGCACTCCAGCCTGGGCAACACAGCAAGACCCTATCTCAACAAAACACATTTTTTAAGGCACTGAAGTGAATTCCCACAGCTGGGTGATAGGTACATGTGAACTTACACAATTCCCTCTATTTTGTGTACATTTGAAAGGTTTCATAATTGAAAGTTTAAATTTAAAAAGTTTAAATATTGGTGCTTAAACTGTATCCCAAACCAATTAGATAAGAACCTCTGGAGAGTGGGACCCAGGCAACAGTATCTTTCAGCATTCCCCAAGTGACTTTTAGGAGTAAATGGAGTTGAGAAACAGGTAAAAGAAGACTAAAGCACATACTTACATTGAATGTTAAGAATTCCTCAAAAGAGAGAGGCTATAAAAATACACATTGATAACAAGCACTTATTTATATCTTTAAAAAATCACCTGAAGTCCTTATAGAAACCACTGGATGACACGTGCATGTGCCCATTCTCTATGAAGTGAGTTAACTTTGAACAGGCTGGGTTTGCTTGGCAGTACCTGCCATCAGATTTGTTCATTCTCACACTCTAGGGGAAACCTATTACTGTAGATGGCTACCCAGTTCATAGTAATGTGTCAATAAAATGCTGGCATATTTCACATCAGGTGTAAAGAACTCATCACACGTTAAATATCGTGACTAGAATTTCAGCAACTCTTCAAACACCCAAAAGAAAAAAATATCATTTGTGGTTTTATTCCAACTTTCCGTGTAATGTGTAGAAGTCACACACACGAGCACTTGTGGTTATCTCAGATGATGAATAATAGAAGGTTCCAGCAGGTACTTTTTGATGAAACATAAAAATATTTGAAAAACTAGAGGAGCCTGTCGGAAATTGTGTCTAAGTGAATATAACCTGACATTTTATGAATTGGATCTAGCGATTTTCCCCAGGTGTGTTCAGGCATTGGGATACTGCTACATCACGATACCCGGCCCAGGGATCTCTGTTTTCACTAAGAGCTAAAATTTATTGAGCATTTACCTTATATGAGGAACTGTTTTACAAGCTATTGTTCCAGATGAATAGCTTTCACCATCACCAGAACCCTCCAAGTTGGAATCTATTATCACCCTTATTTTCAAAAGAGGTCAGTGAGGCAGAAGCTGTTTCAACAAGGTGCCCGAGGTTACACAGATTTGGCTATCAGAGCCAGCATGCAAGCTCAGGTAGTCTGACTTCTGAGCTAGTCCTCTAAAGCCTCTAACTAGACAGTCAAATGAATATATACACACAGATATTCAGTTAAATCATATGAAATTGCCAATATTCAACTGTTTTGACTTTCAGAGCAGTAACTTTCTAGCACAATAATATACTCCAATGAGAACACATTGCATTGGCTACAAAGAAGAGAAACAGAGTTAAGGAAAGACTATTTCTACTGCTATGGACACATTAGAGAACAGAAAAAGTCTTCCAAAAAGTCACTAATTTAGAAAGAATATGCAAGTTGTTCATAGTCTAAGAAGCTACTAAAATAACGTAAGGCAACTGCTAATAAAATTATAATTATTATCGTTAACTTTTATTTACCTCTGCTGTGTGCCACACAGTGTTTTAAGGGATTTCTGTGCACCTTATCTCTTTGTTCCTCACAATTCTATGAGGTAGGAACTACAATTATCCATAATTTACAGGTGATTAAAAAAACTGACGCAAATGAGAGGTTGAGTAGCTTGTCTCAGGCCTCATATTTGGTGAGTAGTAGAACCAGGCAATTTTATTGTGGAGTCCATGCTCTTAACCATGATGCTAAACTGCCCCTACACAATTACATAGGTTCCCTTGGAATTTCCTCTACAGAAAAGGGATATTAATTTCAAAAACCTGTGCCCAAAATGGGATCCTTGTATAAACATGTATCCATTTGACCAAGAAGAGCATTCTACAAGTTAAGAGTTTGAGAAAAAGGCCAAAGGAGAATGCTCTCATCCATCAGTGGATCCTGCTGACTCTACCTTCAGGACATACCCAGAATCAGCCATTTCTCACTATACCTGCCTCTGGCACCCTGGTGCAAACCATCACCATCTCCTGTCTGGGTTAGTGCAACATCTCAGCACATTTGTCTCTGCTGCCGCCCTGAGACCCCTATAGTCATTATTCAAACAGAAGATACTGTCAGCCTGGTAAAACAAGCCAGATCACATCACTCCTGTTCAAAGCCTCTGGGGGCCGTGTTATCTGCCCTCACCCCATCCAGCCCCACCGTTCTGAACATATCTGCCAGCCATACTCCCCATCTCACTCCAGGCACTCTGTCCTTGCCGTTCCTCACACAAGCCAGGTGCACTCTCACCATCAGCTTTGGAATCATCTCTTCTCTAGGAAATACTAATGCTCTCGCCTACTTCAAGTCTTTGCTCCCATCACCTCTCAGAGAGGCCTGCCCTGCACACCTTAAATATACACAGTAGAAACAAAACTGTGATGGGGCTACCCCAGCACCTGTTCCCTTATCCCACTCTCCTTTTTTCCCATGACCTAACATGGCATATCATTTCCTTATTATGTTTATTGTCTGTCTTCTGCCATTCCAGACATATATCCCACAAAAACAGGGGTCCAGTCATCTAGAACAGTGCCTGGCATTGAGAAGGCATTCAATCTATGTGTGTTGAATGAAAGAATTTTTAAAAGCACAGAGATGATAAAATATGGAACTCTTTTGGAAGGATTATTAGAAGGATTCAAGTATAAAATTGAAGCGTTAGCTTGCCCAGTATTGGGATTAGACACAGGAAGGAGATTTGTAAGGAAGAAACTAAATCTAAGGGAATGGTGGATATATGATAAAAATGTGACATAGTTATATGCAACATACATTGCTTCCCTCCAACCATGGAGCTGATTTAGGCAGCGCCTCCCCATCACCCTAAGAAAAACCCCATTCCTCACACCTGAGCCA